TCTACTTATTCTTCTACTTCTACTTCTACTACCACCACTACTGCTACGACTTGTCGATGGCAACGACAACGACTGCTAATAGTTCTTTTCATCGGACTTCCTGTTCTGTTTCTTGCCGACCCCACTTCTACTGCCAATGCGAAAGTAAGGAGGAACACACCCGAATCCTGTATACTATGAGTGTTATTTGGTACCACCACGGGACGATGACCACTGCAGCGAAAGCATGTCGACTACTCTTGCAACGGCAATATCGGTGTAGCTTACCATTCACCGCAGCACAGTCAAGCAGCAGACAGAAAACAGTGCATGGCATCGTCGGAGCTTCCTGGTTGAGACGCTACTGTCTTACCCACAACGCAAAGACTGTGCAAGAGTCAATCTCCTGATAATGCCAGTAGGGTGTGACATGGCTTTGGGCCTTGGGTGTGCAGGTTACCATTTTTTCTGAGAAGCGATGGCCTGATTGCATGAGGCGGGTGATCAGACTCTTCCACTTCTTCCGGGAGCTCCGGATGATGGTTGCAGCTTTTCTGGAAATAAGGCCCGCAGAAACTACGACACTCGAATGCCGCAAGCCGTAGCTAAAGGACCGAGACACCGAGTTTCTTATTCCCGGGGCCTGCAAGGTGTGCCGCCAAAAGAAATCTCAACAAAAGTTTAAGAAGGATTTAGGTGTTTCGGGCTTGACCGGCCATAAAGCTGAACACCGCCGATAGCTCTGAGGTTTGCATCTTCAATTCCTTGATGTCCCTGATATGGGCTTGCACGTTGCTGATGACCGTGACGTACGTGTGGCCTGGCGGATCGATGTTGTGTCAAGTTCTGGGATTAGGGTCAGGGCTTTGGATAAGAGTCTGGGGCCTCGTTTCAGTTCAGAATCTAATTGGCTGAAGTTCCGGAACACCAACAACACTACTAACGATAAATTTTGCGAGCGAGACGAAAAGTGCAGCATCAACCTCAACAAATCCAGTCCTGTAAAGAAGTTTCACACACCCAAAGACAGAGCTCTATGCTCACCTTAGTATTAGAGTAGGCAACCCTTAATCTCTCTGGGATAGCAGAAACAGGTTAACCCTTAGTTCCCCTAGGTAACTGGACAAGCAAGTCATCCGACCAAACCGTACAGCATGTTCTCCTGTTGTCCTCAAGATCGCTTTGTCGAGGATGGGGGTAGGCTTTGCAACATTTTACCTTTGCGCATGTTGCAGTGTCGGCGCATCGCGAGATCTAACTATCGGATATCACTGGAGGCGTTTAAGTTTAGACACGGCTGCTCGTGGAACCTCATCGTTTGCAGGGCTTGAATGGGCTTTTGCTATTCAAGCCCCAACCCGCAAAGCTAGATGGTATGCAAAACGTCCCCGCAGTGTGTGATGCCGAGGCTACCCTGTGCTTGATTTGTTTGGGCCTAGATTCCAGATCTCAACAGCTTCTGGTGCTGAGGGCTAGCCAAACGAGCGGCTTTGCACAATCGGAAGCCGGGATTGTACTGGAATGGTACTCATTAGAATAAACCCGCGCCAGAAGTGAAGGCCTACTTCTCCAGCTCTGGACGGCCCTAAAATTCAAGCGCCTTTACCGAAGTCTCAAAACCCAAAACCCTAAACCTCTGAAGCCTAAACCCTAAACCCCCACACCCCTAAACCCCCCCTGCACTGCACCCCAAACCCTAAACCCCTAAACCCTAAACCGTCCCCTGTCTTTACAGGTTTGCGATCTTGTGCACACAGGGCGCCTCCACGCCCCTCGGCCTTGAGAAGCCGCGGATGCAAAGGGAGCCACGGCTTGGGGGCTAGCGGTTTAGGATTTAGGGTTTAGGGATTTAGGCTTTAGGATTTAGGGTTTAGAATTTAGGGTTTAGGGTTCTTCTGCAGCCACAACATGTGCGAGGGAGCTTTTGGTTGCGACTTGCGGCCACAGAGCCGGACATGCTTGCGATGTAAGCCATCACATTCAGACACCTGCTGCCATACTGCTCCGCATGTTGCCGGCTCTGGGGTGTCAAGATTCCAGAGTTGCTGATGCAGGGATGTGCAGGTTTGATACACTCGGGGCTTGGGATAAAAGCCTCCTGGCCCCCCTAAATCCTACAGCAGCTTATCGTGCACAAGTTTCACATTAAGGAATTTTGAGCTACCTAAGCGTCTCGCTGTCGTTCAGTGTTTTCTACCCCCAAATTTGGGTAGTTCCCTACACTAGGGCCCCTTTGTAGATACCAAATACAATAGCACGGCACCCTTATAAAAGGGAACCTAAAAGGGACCCTAATTTGAGAATTACCCAAGTATCATTATCGGCCCTTACATCCTTTACCTCGACCCTCAAGCAAGGCTCCTTTCTCAAGCAATATCTGTGGTTAGGGTTTTCCGGCCAGAACTTCACAGCCCGGATGCAAAAAAGGTTTAGGGTTTAATTGGGGCTTTGGGTTTAGGGATAGCCGTAGCACGTAAATAGTTTAGGTGAAACAGCTTCAGATAGGCCTCACCTCCAAACGACGAAGCACCAAGAATCTTGCTGTTTCATGTTGACACGGGTTTGGCGATATTTATGCTTTGAACAACCGCACTGTCAGTGGCTTCCATCGGGTCTTAAACACCTTTTACCTGGCAGTCATTCGGGACTTTTCTTTTTTTCTATCTACTTTGTGTATTGGGCCGGGGTGGGGGTTTCTGGGTCTTTAACTACTGTCTCTGCAGGCTCTTGTGGTGTAGAAGTGCTTGTTGCTTCGGAGAGTAGTCATTTTGGCGTAGTTGGACAAAGAGACCTCGTCTGGCAGAGTCCAAGCTGCGAGAGCGTAAGCCCTAAACCCTAAACCTTAAACCCTAAACCCTAAACCCTAAACCCTAAACCTAAACCCTTTTACCTTAAACCCCAACCCGACCGCCCAATGAACTACTGAAGCCCCAGAGCCCTCATCCCTATAAGCCTCTATAGGTTCCCCAGCCCTACCCTCGGGTTTAGGGTTTAGGGTTTAGGGTTTAGGGTTCAGGGTTTAGGGTTTAGGGTTTAGGGTTCGCCCTAGTTCTTTTACTGAGGAAGCTAGGCCTTTAGTGCCTTGTATGACCAGGTACTTCCGGGATCCAAATCCACCCGACCCGACGATCCCTGTGGTCACTGCAGGATCTCCGATCAGCAGCAACGCTTCGAAACGAGCGGGTTTACGGTTCAGGGTTTAGGGTTTAGGGTTCAGGAGTTTTGTGTTTAGGCTTTATAGGGCCCTGCCGCTTTTCAAAACCAGACCTCTGCCATATCCCATTTCTCAATGACTGGCTACAGCTTTATGAAGGATGCCTTGTGAGGTCTGGGAGGCCTCGGGGCGCTTCAACGTAGAGACTTGAGAACTGTTGAGATTTGTAGTTCAAGGCCGCAGAGACGGTATGGCAGCTGTGTGCAACTCGTTGCATACCAGTTCTGCCCACAACCTCCTGAATCCCGACATGCGATGTATCCAATGCACCGAGTCACTTACAGTCAGCTCTTGCATCATGCACGGAGGGAGATTCTGCGGTTGGCGCGGAATGGAGGGAGCGAGCGAGCTAGGTTAATTTAAATATTGCAGAATGCCCCTAGTCTACATAAGCCGGAGAATACTTCGTGCTTCCCCACAGATCGCCTGAGCACCTTTAGGGCATCCCGGACAGTCTGTTTCCTTCTCAACTCGCACGGTGTTTTTCTTGGGATCGTTCGGTCAGCTTCGGTTTTTGTTCAAGTCACCCCCCGTCGTGCCTTCGTCGGTCTGGGTTGTATCACCGAGAAAACGTAAGCCAAAGCCCGAACCCAGTATGCACAGGAGGAGAGGAGCTAGCAGGGGCCTACCAGACCAATTTGCTGTCCGCGGCCGGCTTGCGGCAGCAGCTAACGGTTCATTTTGACTCACTGCTGCTCGGCCGATCATCGGCTTGGTCAATCACAGTGCATGCCTTCTTCTTCAAGGGCAAGAGAGCAGAGGGTTTGTTGTGGGATTTGGTGGCCACCGCCGAACTGAACAGACTTCGTGACAAGAGCCCGGTGGCTAGGAATTCATAATCATAGTTGCCTTACATTGGAGCCTCCACAATTGGTCACGCCAGTCCTGTATGATTTTCTCCCTCGAGGTGTCGATCTTGTCTCGAAGCCTCGGGACCAAAGCCTCCGTCAGCATTTATATATATATATATACACTATATATATATATATATATATACACTCTATATATATACTATATATATACATATATATATATATATATGTATATATGTGTGTGTATATATATATATATATTCGATATTGATTCGGCTCTACCGCTTTATGACAGAACTCACCTTTGGTCAGAACCTCACAGGTCCTAAAGCGAATCGACCCGGAGTCCCAAATCCTGAACCAAGATCCTGTGGTTTAGGGTTCAGGGTTTAGCACCCGAAACACGGTTCTGGGTTTGGGGTTTAGGGATGCGAACCCTCCTCTACATTCACTACACGCTAGAGCTACTGTGCATCCTTTTCCAAACCTGGCAGCCTCTGGAATCTCCGGGCTCTGTCCTAACCCTATGCCACATACTTCCCCTGGCTTAGAATCAGAGCCTCACCAGGCTTCGATCCATGCTGTCGCTGATGATGGCTGTTACAGGAGTTTTGGCGGCAGAAGGGCCTTTCACCCATGGAACCAAGAAAGGGAACAGAAGCCTGGCACGAGACGGAGCTTACAGTTCCAGGAGCACTTAGCGCCAGTTCTACTCTTGCCATTGTCTTTGTTTAGACTAATCTCCTATTAATGCGATTGCTGTGCTGGTTCTGAATTCTGATCGTGATGACCGGTTAACTGCGAATGGTGCTGTGGATCCTCGGCTCCATTGCTGCATAAGATCGGACCCGAAACGCCGAGTAAGCTTATTCTACTTGTTAAGGTCCGGTCCTATCAAGGAAACCAAGCAAGCATTTATTCTAAAATGTTGGTCCGGGTATTGTTTGCAAGGCGGACTGGATTGGTGCCTTGCCCGCATGGCCAAGATGCGACCGGATGTAGGGTTCAGGGTTCGCACTTCACAATTCAGGCTTTGTGGTTAGGGTTTAGGGTTTCGGTTGTTTCCCGTTTACCCGGATCTTGACTCCTGAGCCTCGTGACGTATAAATAGCAAAAACAGAAGTGCCGGAAGGGTAAGGGCGGAAGTTCCCAAACCGAGCTGGAACACGACATCAATCCAACGATACAAGATAGAGCCGAAACATCCAGGCATCTCGTGAAGACGGACAGGAATCTATGCTGAACACGACAAGACAAGATGTAGCGTCACCAGCTTAAGCACGAAGGAAATAGCAGAACCGCAAATGCCAAAGCCGAAAATAACACGCAAATACAAGACTGACAAGCCGCGAGGTACCAGATCGCCAAGCCTCTCATGAACATGAATTACCTGTACTTCACGGCTTTCCTGTTTTATGCCTCCCGGCAGGGAAGGGGAGGACAGCCGACTGTGACTTGTTTGTGCTGCGGCTGTGCAGGTGTGAACTGATTTGATCAACACGCTATTCTCAGCAACGACTCCACCACCACCAACAACGGCGCCAGCAGCAGCAGCATCGTCATCAACATCAGCAACAACAGCAAGAACAGCATCGGTAGCATAAGCAGCAGCAGCACCACCACCACCACCACCACCACCACCACCAGCAGCGGTCACCACCACCACCGCCACGACTACCACTACTAAGTTGCTTGCGTAGGCTCCATTGCCGCAGGTTAAGCATATATCTGCGCATCCATGACGGACCATGTGGCATTGCAAATCTTCCGACAGGCTTAAACCCTATTCTGAAGACTCGAAGCCCCAAACCAACAACCTCAGACCTAAGATAGGGGCCTCAATAAGTACGTATATTAATTTGGGGCCTCCTTATGAAATCTAATTAGTATAATGGGTCCCAAGACCCTTTTCGCATTATTACAGCCCCTGAGCGCCATCGGTCGGTCCGGGGGTAAGCCCTCACTCAGCTGATCCGAAACCTAAGCCTGTGACCGCGAAACGTTTGAAACCAACATGATACCGCCTCAAGGATGCATGGTTTGATGATGCTAGTGGTTAGTATGCAGTGAGTAGCAGCAGAAGCAGAAGGAGCCGCCGTAGTGATCGGCGCCGCCGCCGTCGTCGTAGCAGCAATGCTACTACTGATATTCATAAGAGTCGTCGGGCCTTGAAAGAGAAGTAGATAGTGGTCCCTGTGGTGGCAGTGTTAGCATCTTCGATCTAAATGTACATTCTTGGCCTGATAGCCGGATGCACTGATGCGAGGCTGCCAGAAGAGACCAACAGCTCGTGAAGCCAGTCCCCTTTTGCGTAAGGTCGACTTGGGGTTGCTGAGTTCCTGTTATCCATATTCCGAAGTGAAAGAGAACTTCAGAGCCTTGACACACCGTCGGCTTATTTAATCGTGTTTTCGATCGGAAACACATGGCAAGATAATGCGCACGCCAAAGTATGCACGGCACTCTGGCGGGAGCCGAATTTTGGTGTTCGCCAAAGCTTTGGATCCCTTCGAACGGGCAGGAATTCCTGACCCGGGCTGGAGTGGTCCGAGAGCCAAAACGGACACGGGAGTACGATTTACACCCGACTTCCGCGTACGCACTCCTCGTTCCCGCATGGTTTAGGTGAGCACAAGCGAACAATAGTGCCTGAACCCTATGCCCCAACACCTACACTTCAAGGTTTTGCTGATCGTTCTGTGCATCATGAACGTCCTGTCTGCTCTTTTCGTTGAGATGGCCTTGCAGATCAAAGACAGGGACCTCTTGATTCAGGCCCGGGCTGCGGGCTTCAGTATGCCCAGAGCTCTATTTTCAAGTTTTCAAGCAAAAGTGCGACCCCAAGTGGGGCTCCAGTAGCTGCCTACATCCAAGGAGCGGGACTTCTCTGCCATGTAAACAGGGGCACCGTAGCATCACTTAATAGACCTGGAAAGCCCCCAGAGTCTCCAAGCCACTAGCGTCACGAGAATATCATACGGAATGTAACATACTATGCTACGCTATAATAATGCCATAAAAATGAAATACAATAATATAGAATCGGTGGGACCTGCCCGAGGCAGAGCTGGCAAAGATCGATGCATTTTTGAAGGACCCGACTACAAGTTCGAGAGGTCCTAGCCTCTTCTTCAGGGTCCTTTATTAAGGGTTATAAGGTCTTTCTAGAAGGTCTTTCAGGGTTTCTGGGGTAGCATTAAGATACCTAGAACAGCCAGAGAGACGTTGCGAAGTTGGAGAAGAAATAATGCCAGTGAGTGGTGATGAGATTGTGCACCCGAGCATCTCACGGAACTGAGGCATACGCCTAGCCTGAAGCATGTTTTTGGCCGTCTGCGATGTCAAAATTAACAAGGCGGAAGAATGTATTCAGGGAAACTCGTTGGACAGGATTTAAGGGTTTAGGGTTTAGGGATCATAGTAAAGCTGCTATAGGGCTGCTTGCTCCAACTCCGGGCGAAGTGGAAAGCCTGTTGCAAAAGGTCTCATGGACTTGGAGGCACTTCAAAGACACTTCGTTCAAAAGGGCTCATGGAACAGGGCGTCAGAACATGTGAGGACTCCTTTGGGAACGTTTATGCACAGCAGCTTCACCACAGAGTCCTCCATCCAGAAGCCCAGCATGTGCACAGAGGCAAAATGACGATCTGCTGACACCACACCACTCTCGCCGACAGCAGAACATCTGAGATGAAGCTCAGAAAGAGCTCTGGTGTGCTTCCGCAATAGCATCACACAACAGGAAGGCAACTATCAGAAAAGTAGATAGACTTGGACCTCGGTACGACCAATCTCACGGCAACAAAGAAGCCCTGCTCACTGCGTGGATGCTACGAAGACAGTTCGGCATAAGCGTGGACAAACGCACCATATAGGTTGTCAGAGGGAGCTAAAACTCGACCGTGCAGCGACCCAAGGCTGATGATCTAATTTGTGGCTTTGCGGCACCGGATGCCTGACTGATACAACAAGTTTTTTCAGCAAGCTAGCAGTTCAACAGTCCTGAAGTTCAGAAGGACATGCGCGACCTCTTCGACGAGGTCGACGTAGATGGAAACGGCGTTGTGACTCGCGCAGAGTTGTCGTTGCGGCTTGGCATAGTATACGGGTGTGGACTGGTTGCCGAGACTTGCCCAGTCTGGACATACGAACCGCAGCAGCACAGTAGGCAAGAGCAAGAACAAAGTGGTCAGGCGCCAGGTCAGCCACCACACACAGTGAGGTGACCTTACACAAACGGACAAAACCCCTGGAAGTGAGAACACTTCAGCTTGCCTAAGAGCCCCCCAAGGACATAAGCCCCAAACCCCCAAAAAGCACTCCAACCCCCCTGGTACCCTGAACACGAAATCCACTCTAGTCTACCTAGCCCTTGCGATCTGCATCTCTTTCCAAACCCCAAATAGTCCCCAAAGACTTCTCGGGTAGCCCAATATAAAACCCTTCATCAAAGCCTTACGAGGCCGAACGACTTTTCATGAGCCCTAAACCCTAAACTCCTATTTAGGGTTTAGGGGGACCCAAACGACCCCTCGAGTAATGTATAGCAGCTTTATAGTAACCTTGGTGGAACCTTGGAATGCCCATAGAGTAGGGCCATAGCACATCCTATGCTAAGCCTGTCGTAAGCCCGCAGTACCCTACCTATAGTCTCCATTGTAGTTCCTTTTTTGGTTTAACCAATTCTATATTAAGGATTCTAGAAGGCATCCCCAAAAATGGACGACAATGGAGACTATAGGTACAGTAACCACGGCTCTTTGAGGTACATGAAGAATGAGCGGGTGATGGCCTACTTCGGTGGGCAGGGGCTCGACATGTCCGATGCAGCCAGCACGAAGGGTGTCTTTTCTTAGGGGCTGAGTAGGTAACCTTTAACCTTTTGGGGCCTATATAACCCTACTATAATTCAAAAGGTCAACTTCTTTTGGGCTAGGGTACTCAGCCCCTAAGTTTTAGTTCGTGGTTTGGGGTTTGGGCTGGCTTGGTTTTGTTTGGTTTGGGTTTCGGAGTGGCCATGGTTGGCAAGTTCATGTTGGGGCGTTCGGTTTTTTCCGCCTCAGAGGTTTACATGCCATAGTTGAGCCTTTGTGATCTAAAGCTTTTGTTGTGTTTAGGGTCGGGGGGGGGTTCGGGTTTCGGGCTGGGTAGATGGGAGTGCAAGACTATAGGGGTCAGTGCGCCTTGACGCATTTTTTGTCCATCGGCCCGGGGGCGGGATGGAGGTGTTGGGGCATTTTGAGGATGTGGTCAGGCGCTGGATCTTCATATCACCAAACCGAGTGAGTAGCCCGAACTTTACTGCACTTAGGCTTGGTGTGGGGGCAGTTCGCGCCGCTAAACTTGCAGCATTTAGACACTAGTTCCAGACTTTTTGTGCCGACATCAGCTGTAGGGGCAGAGAGTTCAGTGGGACGGCACGCATGTTTCGAGGATTTGTGCGACGCTTTACGTACACCAGCTGTTGAAGCAGGAGCGCTTTTGGGGGCGGTAAGGCAGCACGAGCTTAAAGAGAGACAAAAAGCATGGCAACGGCCAAGGTAGGACTCATGTTCGACCTGTTAGACTCGTCTCACGATGGGCCACTCGGACACATCGGGGTTCGGGGCAGTTCAGGGTTTCGGGGCTTTGCAGCCGCTGTCTTCAGTTCGCGCCGGGTTTAGGGTTTGCCCACATTTTGCCTCGGTTTGCACATCGCTCCCCCGGCGCGCGAAGAACGAAGTCGAGAACATGGAGTGGTCAAAGCACATCAGGTAAAACAAAAAAACCCTATGTGATGCCTAAGGCCACTGAGCTCCCGAAACTTGTGGGACTTCTTCCTCGGAACACCGTCGCCCTAAGCCAGTTTCCTCCCTCTCCCAGGAAGCCAGGATAGGATGCAAAGCCTTTGCCCCCCTGTAGCTCTGCAGTCGAAGCCTTGCCTCCATTATCCGAATGTCCTTCGTCGAGCGAAATGTATTCTGACTCGGTTTACCGGCCCTGAATGTTTATCCCAAAGCCCGTTACACCCAAGGCCCGGCACCCAAGCTCGTGGGGGGGGGGGGGGGGGGGCGGGAGTCACATACAATTCCAACGATGAAAACGTTTGGAGGGACACTCCTTCAATGTGCAATCCTTATACGTCCTCAATCACAGCCAACTCCCCACACACCTAACACGCCGCAACCCGGCTCGAAGGATCAGGGTGCACCATACACGGCTAAAAGAACCCCAGAGTCCTACAGCCGTTGCCCGAAAGGAACCCTAAACCCTGAAACTTGTAGACCCTGAAGCCTCAAACTGTAAGTTTTTTGCAGTCCGAGGACGATTGGTCTATCTGAGTTCCTCCTTGGCACATTGCGGCTGAAGGGTGGGGCAAGGTGCCTTCGTGTTGAGATCTCAGGAAGGCTCGGAGGCTTCACGCCGAAGAGGGGCTTGGCAGTGATATACCAGGCTAGATTATCGTAGTGCATTATAGTTTCTTAGAAAATTTCCTATACTATGCATCCCGTATTGTTGTGTAATGAGATCATTCCATAGCATGTTGTAGTTGACAATCCCAAAAGGGGATCTATGCAGAGCTGCGGATCTGCTGTATCCGCGTGACTCCAGCTTGATGGGTGTGGCTGGTAGAAGCCTCGATCCAAAGCTTAGCGCGTGAGTCTGTGGCTGCCCGAACCCCGAAGCTCTCAAAGCCCGCAGCCCTGAACCTTGGCCGTTGGCCGAGTCCCAAGTCCCAAGAGTGAGGAAGATATCATAGCCCTAGAAGGGAACTGTAAACCTAAACCGCCGCTAGAGCTCAATCCCCCAAAGCCGTGCGCCCCGTCTCAGTGGATCCAGCGCGCACGAGTTTTCGGAACCCCGACATCCATGAGACCGCCAGGTGCATCGAAGTGATGCGATTGTTTCAAGCTTTGGACCACATCAGGCCGGGTCAGGGCTGGACATCGTTCCGAGCAGGGCACAGCCCCCCTGATGCCAGTGTACATACCCCTAGGCCCCATAGCAGTTCCTTTTTGGGGTTCATAGTTAGAATGCTATAAAGTAATCCCAAAAAGGAACTACTATGGGGCCTATGGGTAGAAACCCCACCATGAACGAGCTCGTAAGCTTCATTCCGGACGGAACATGCTTGTAGCTACTGGGCCCCCTACATTACCCAATGGACCGGTGGAAAGCCGTTGCAGCCATCGACAACACCATAATCAAGAGACCCGTAGCAGAGTCAAAGCTTCTCAAGCCCAGCAACGACTTGAGAACACAATTTCGTAGACGTGTTTGTTTCTGTAGAATGGACAACTAGAACCCAAAGTGGCGAAGCCCGGAATGCAGGGCTTGGGTTCACCAAGCTCGAAGAGCTGCGTTCTACCCCAAGCTCTGCACAGGTAGTAATACAGAGGTGTTATGATGTAGCAATGTCCATTTCTGAGGGCTTCTTAGTCCATGCATGCTCTACTACTCCCCAAGACCCTACTCCAACTATGAAAGCCGGTATATTAAACCCCAATCAACCAGTGGTGCCCTCAGCCTCATGAACCTTGAAGACTTGCACCTCAAGACCTTAAGCCGCCAAGCGGAAATCCCAACGCAGACCCTTTTCCATCAAGTACCCACGCCTTCGAAGATTGTACGGTTGAGGCTTCGAAGAATGTAGGGTTCAGGGATGAGGGTGTAGCCGGAGCCCGCCTAGTCTCCCTATGCAGGGCGGCAGCAAGGATCCTTTGGCAGTGTTTAATTGCATCGAGGTGCTCTAAGCCAATCTTGATTCTCCACGAACTCAAGACCTCCAAGCCATTTAGACCCTTTACACGACCAAAAGAGCCCAATCGTGAAGCCCTTGAAGACGAGAACCGCCTAGAGCATGGAGTTAGAACCCTTGGTGCGCACAACCGTCTACGTACAAGCCTACTATAGGGTCTGATTCACAGTACTCCCTTGTAGCTCAGCCACGGCAGCTCATCCACCGCGAAACCCTATTCATATGATCGTACGGGCGGCTAAGCCTCAGCACAGCGCAGGAAGGAGCTAGGAACCATCCAAGCAAAGATGGCCATCGTAGCAGCCTCAGGTTACTTTAAGGCCTGTTTTGTGTTTGGGTCTGTACAGGTGCCATGGATGTTTTTTCGGATGTCGGGCTCACGGTTTCTGATTCAATGGTTTAGGGTTAGGTTCTAGGTGAGAGGGTGGTCAGCTTGGCGTGCACGTAGGGTTTATTCCTGCTTGTTGTTTTAAATAAGGGGGGTCGAGGTTTCAAACCATGCGACAGTGCAGCTCGGACGATCCGCGATCTACATGTGTTGATCGATACAGTGGGCCGCAAAAGTGGCATGGACTTCGAAGTTAACATCAGCAAGGCTCCTCCAGATTTAGCTTACATAGAAGCATGAAAGCGGTACCCCAGCTTTGTGAGTGAACACTTCTACATTTTATCGTCCTGGGCTCACTCAAACTCCCCCTTACTAGCCCGAAACTAGATCTTCTGGTACAGCCTTTTACAATACCTATAGTCTCCATTGTACGAGTTTAACCAGTTCTATATTTAGGATCCTATAAGGTAACCCCAAAAAGGAACTACAACGGAGACTATCGGTAAACTCATGCCAACCTCCGAAGACGAGCTAGCGAAGGTTTCGCAAACACCTTAGGTAAAACGGTTCGCAAGTCAAGCGGATGTTCATTAAGCCGTGTCCCCCCCGCAACCAGCTGTAAATCCGCACGAAATTGAAGGCCAGGCCGAACTCCTTATAAACCCTAAACCCGATCACCGGAATCATTCTACTATGAACCCTGAGCCGGTAACGCTCAAAGGTTTTTCTGAGAGTTTCGGTGGTTTAGGGTTTAGGGTTTAGGGTTTTGTTTGCCCAGGAGCCGGAGGCATTCCAGCCTTCGAAGGTTGACCACGAGGCCCACCCAGCAACTTGAGGGCTTGGGTTTAGGGTTTAGGGTTTAGGGTTTAGGGTCGGGTGTGGTGGCGTGCTGTCTAGGGTTTAATGTAGGGGCCTAAGTTATTATATACTATGTTGGAGGGCTCCTTATTGTAATGATAGTGTAATGGGCCCCAAAACCCTATTGTAATTTTTAGGGTCCCTATATTTGTTGGCTTAGGGTTTAGATGGGGCTAGTATGCTACTGCCTGCAGTATCCCTACTACTTGGTTCTCCAATACCCAACCTTTAAACTTTTGGCTTGCTTATAACTTAGGTTTAATCTGAAAGTTTTGACCTTTTTTTCCTTGGCTTATTGGGGAAGTAAGGCTATTCTGATGCTTGAAGACTCTGGTTACCACCGGCGCTGCTGCTGCTACCACCAACCCATTGTTGAAATGCAAGTGGCAGCGTCGCAGCAGCTAATTCTAGCCAGCATTTGTTCATTGCAGCCGCTTATATCAACGGCTTGAATTGAACTGTTGTGGTGGGGCTGGTTTTTGTTGAAACAGTTTTTGGAAGGGTTTGAAAGATTTATTGGTTCAGGGATTGAAAGAATGGCATATCATTTGGCGGAGTTCTTCATCGGCCTTCCCGTCCCAACATGGGTTTGAGCTTGGATGTGTTAGCATGGCTTTGCTGCAGAGCCCTGCTGCAAAAGAACGGTTTAGGGACTCGGCGGTGAGTCAATCACGACCGGGGGGTTTTTCCGTTCCACAGGCTTGGGGCTCCATGACAGGGGAATGTATTCGTGTGTCGCTCCACGTCCCTCTGCGCCAAAAACAACCTATACCCTCGTCCTTGTAGTCCCCATATGGTTATATGATCTTACACTCCAAAGTACATTCCAATGCTTCAGGCGCCTTCTATTGTAATCTTGTTCCTGTAGCTCCCAGTGCCCTCGAGTTTGTTCGTCGGAGCATCACAGGGGACTTAATACTAGAAATACGGTTTTGCGATACAGAAGCTTACGTAAAGGACCATAAGGATGTACTATCGCTAGCTGTTACTAGCTAATCTGACTTGTTCTGAGCATTGCGATGACCACCTCGCTGCGGTTTTCAGTGTGAAACCCTCCGCAAATCGAAGATGCCTCATCCAACAAAGGACCAAGTGCTCAATTGTGTTGCATGCTCCAAGACATGAAGGCTTTATGTTGATAGTCTTGCCAACATTCAATCTTCTTTGAACCTCCGGCTTTGCATCTAGCGATGACAGACCACTCGAACCACCAAGGCGCAGCATGTTGCAAGCTTGCACAGTTATAGTGATATTTTAATAATCATGACAATAATTGTAGTATTAATAATAATGACAATAATGGTAATATTAATAATAATGACAATAACGGTAGTATTAATAGCAGTAGCAGCAATATCAATTATACGTATATTCATTCAAGGGAGCCTTCTCCCCGTTCTCCGAACTTTGGCCGATGGAGCCAGGAAGACACCGTGGCCAAGCTCACCAGGTTTTGAGAATAGCTGAAGGTGTGACATCAGATGTGCCTTGCATCGCGGAGCCCAAGACTGTAACCCCGTGCTGTTCTCGAGCCAACTAAGAAGAAAATACAGGACTGACAGATCACGTCGAGATAGTTGCTGGCAGGTTTCGTGCAAAACGTGCTGCAGCTGAAAAGTGCTTTTGGGCCACAGCCACCTTCCAGTTGCGAAGAAAGGTCGCCGTCGAGGTGCTTACTGTCCAAGCGAACCTAGATGAATATGTAGCATTGAGCGAGCTCCTCCAACATCACAGTTGTATATCTGTGTATCTGCATGTACAATGCAGGCAGATACACAGATATACAGTTGGCGCTATACAGTTTGTCCATTTCTCTCTCTCTCTCTCTCTCTATGTATCTGTCTTTCTATCTTTGTCGGTCTATCTATCTACCTATCTAACTATCTGTTTGTCTGTCTATCTATCTATCTGCCTACCTCATCTACCTTTCTATCTATCTATCTACCTATCTACCTACCTACCTACCTATCTATCTATCTATCTATCTATCTGTCTAACTACGCAACTATCTAACTATCTATCTATCTATCTATCTATCTATCTTTCCACCCACATATTTTCATAGCTGCATGTAGACCAATCGATAGTGTTGTCTCTAGCTCTTTCTCTCTCTGCCTTCACTACATCTACATATATATATATATATGTGTGTGTGTGTGTGTGTGCGCGTCTGTATGTGGATATGTAGGCATGTGTGTATGTGTAGATCAATGCTTAGTACGTTTTGAGTGACTTCCGCCGCTACTTTGTCAGGGTTGTGTCAACCCTGCATGAACATCTCAGCACATAAGGGACTGAATGATCTGAAATCTTAACTGTTACTTTTGCAATAATACTCCGATCGGTTCCCTAGTCTAATTCTAGTATGTCAAACCTCGACCTATTCTAACCAGCAAGGCCCCATTTGTATCTGTTGAGTGTTCTCGAGACCTTCAACTTCTGAGGACTCCGAAGCAAGGCAGTGGGGCTTTGCCCGGTTCTGCCCGTTCTGATTTCCAAGTCAGGGATATCGCCACAAAAGGCTTCAGCATCACACAGCTTGGGCCTCTAAAGGAGGACGGTGTGGATGGCTGCGGCGGTAACGCGCAGAGTATTCGTCTCACAATTTTTCCATGGCACCTAGATTGGACAAGGCAGTGTCCTCGCCATTCCCGTAAAGCCCTATAAGTCACGAGGGCCGTGACATCCTGGCCAGCACTGCCGGGCCGCGCCCTGTCCAGAGAAATTGGCCTGCTGGCACAAGCGTGCTCACGGGTCATGAGGCCTGCTTGCCACACCGCATGCACCGCTGAATTTTAAGGCCTTGCAGGAAGTGTTCCCATGACACACCTTACCATGGCACTGCCTCTTACGTTCAGATCCTTGGAATGATTGCCGTTTTTTTGTTCAGGCTTCCTTCCATGCGGCTCGAAGAATTTGACGCCTGAGCGTCAAAGCACCTGGGCGCCAATCGGTCAGCGGGCTCGGAGTGGTTACGACCTGCTAAGCTATTCAAAGAAGGGTGCACCAAACAAAGGCTCTTAGCTAAAGATGTTTCTTGTGGATGTCCGTCTTGAGCCTTCACCACCCACTTTTGCGATACCTCAGATTGCAGAGGAATCTGATGGGCACGAGATGTACCAAAGTATTATGTATGGCTTACGTACACGGGTTCGAATTTCCCAATTAGAGCTTATAGGGAGCTGCATCATCGTCCATCTCTTCTACCCTCAGATTTTTACCCAATGCCTTCCAGCTCCAAAAGGAAGCCGGGAGAGAGCTTTTCGGACGAGAGAGAGAGGCATGTTTGAGTTCTGAGTTGAAAAAATGGTCGGGGCTTCGGCTGTAGCTTCCCGACCGTTCCCTGGTGTGTTGCTGACGGTTTGGTCGGTTTCAGGATGAAGACCTCCACGCACTCTGAAAGTATCACCCTAAACTTCCGTTTCGGGATTCAGAAGCCCAGACCCCAAAGCGTCGTTGCGGCATCTCAAGCCACACCTCAGCCAAACTGGAATCCCGAGAACAACCCCACACACACACATACACACACACACACACGCACCCGCGCGCGCACACACTGCCTTCCTCTCTGGCCTTTTACCGAGGAGTCCAGGCCCATGGGGTTTCATGTAGACGTGAAGGTGGGCTGTAGGTTCTGGAAGACCCGGAGTGGCTTTATCAAAGCTCTTTGTCAGGCAGTCCAGAGTCTACCCACAGGCCCCATAGCAGTTCCCTTTTGGGGTTCATATTTAGAATCCTATAAGGTAATCCCAAAAAGGAACTACTATGTAAGAATAAGCTCGATGCCCGAAGCTACCCCAAGAGCAACTCGGGGCTGGGGGGTCGCCCGCAGGGATACCAAGCTGATCCACCTCGATGGCCGTCACCCAGAGGCACGGCACCAGAGAGGATTTGCAGCGGGTTTGCTTAGAGTTGTTGTGTCTCTTTGGTGCGGATAGTCTGCGGACGTGACTCGTGCAGGAGTCGCTTTCTATTATAATTTCATGATTATGCAGTGAGCCCTGAATCACTGAATCTTACACTCTTCCTGCGCCAAGCTGTGCCTTTAAGGGCTAATTAAGGGTCCGGCTTTGGATGTGCGACAACGTTCGAGGGGAGGGCTTAGGCTATAGGGTTTGGGGCTTGGGGTGTGTGGTTTGGGTATGGAGTTGATGTAAATGCCTCTCCAACGCCGAAAACGACTTACATGGAACCTTTTAATTCGAACGCCTACGTCTTTTGAGCCATGGTGCTTATAAAGCCTAAACTCAGAGCCTATAGAGCATAAAGCCGAAATCCTAAGCCCGGAGACTTCGAACCTTGAAAGGAAGGGAAGGTTCACCCGAAGCTAGATCAAGCCAATGAGCTGTCCGCTAGGATTCATAGTCCCTAAAAACCCTAAACCCTACCTGGACCCCAAATAACCTACCCTTTTTAGGTTTCCCGATTATAGTTTCTTTATACAAGTCCTTAAAACGGTAGTTTCTTTGGGGTTAAGGTAAACCCTAATCACCAACCCTCGGCCCGAGAAGCTAAAAGCGTTTTAACCGCTAGGGGTCAAAAGGGTTGAAAGTTTCTTTCCTCGGCACGGTCTACTATACTACCCACAAAGAAGGAGCAGGAAGACTGCATCAAGGGTCCCGTTCCAAGCCCTACCCTAAACCCTATAAACCTTGTAAACCCTATAAGCCCTATACACCCTATAAGATGTAACACCCTAAACCCTCAACCCTATAAGCCCTAGAAGCCCCAAACCCGACCATATTTCCCAAATCACAAACTCCGGCCTTCGCAGGCCCCGTCAAAGCCCGCAAGTCCTCGAAAAGCCTGAGACCCCCGACGCCCGGCCCTTGCGAAAACCTGGGTTCTCCAGTGCCCAACTTTTTTTAAACTCTTTGGCCCTTATAACTTAAAATTTGGGTTTAGGTTAAATTAGGGTTTAGGGGTATAGGGTTTAGGGTAAATTAGTAGCAATCTGAAAGTTTAACCTTTCATTTCCCTGGCTTATTGGGGAGGTAAGAAACAGACACGAGGGCTTAGGGGTTTTGGGTGGATAGGTTTTGGGGGTTTGGGGTTTATAGGGGTTTTGGGTATAGGGGTTCGGGGTTTAGGGGTTTTGGGTTCAGGGTTTAGGGTTCAGAGACACACACTGAAAACCAAAAGGCTGCGCTGGCTCTGGCAGATGCTGCTTTGAAAGACCGAGGCATGCAGGGGGGGCAGGTTTTAGGATGTTTTTTACACCTTGGAGCTCATACGGTTTACATCATCGTTGTATGGGGTTTTGAGCTAGAGTTTGGCTGTTTGATCTATCTCGGAGTGTCTGCGCTTGCGGTTACACACGTGGGATGTGATATGTCCAAAATGTGAGTCCGCTGGAGCTAGAGAGTTTTGGAGGCAGATGCCTGCTAGCGCAAGATCTGGGATTCTTTTTTGTAACCGGGCCCTGAAATCCTGATCCTCGCCCGTGCCGGGCCTTCTATGGCTTCGGAAGTGGACTCTGCATGACATATGGAGGGCGCTTTGAAGCTCGGGTTTTCGGGTTAGGGCTTTGAGTTTGGGAATATGAGGTTGCCGTGCCACCCAGGAGCTGCTGCGACCGATAAGTGCCGAACCCCAACCATGACCCATGCAAGTGTCGTCGCATGTTTCTAAACCCTGGGTCATTACAAAACATCCCGGAACCCTAAACCCTTAACCCTAAACCCTAAAAAAGGGCTGTTGTCAGATGGGCTTTCACTATGCTTGTGTACCTGTCCCTGGCCTTTCGTCTGAGCCCTCCCTGACAACCTGGAGCTCCAACAGTGAATCTACTGTTAGTTCCCTTCCTTCCTTTGTTCTTGACCAGTATTGCCACAGACCTTGCCAGGCTCCCTAAACCCTAAACCCTAAACCCTAAACCCTGTCCGAGTGTGAGTGTCCAAAAAAACCCTTGCAAAGCAAGTCTAAGTCTTGCAGGGGACTCGGGGAGTCCGTTCATCACCTTGGATGCCGAACGACCTAGGGAAGGCACTGTTTTTTTGGTATGGGGGGGGGTTATAAGACTTTACAGGGGTTCTGTAAGGGTTGCTCTACAAAGATGCTGTAAGGGTTCTTACAGGGGGTCGGTGGTTTGGTGCTTACCTGCTACATATTGGGTGGCACTTTGGGCTGCGCGTTGCCAGAGTTGTGGGTTCCTCCGTGGTATTCTCCTAGTCATCGAAAGTTCTATAGGGGTCTTTTGAACTACAATCCGATCCACTTAACTGGTTTAGGGGCTTGAAGTCCCCGCTATAGTTGTTTTCAGGTCTAGAGAGTAGCAACAGAGCATTCTGCGCTCCTCGGTTCAGCCTTTACCTCAGCTGTCGAGGAGCAGCAAGCTAGTAATACAGGGGCCTTAAGAATGAGGATAGGGTTTGGGGGTATAGTTTACTATAAGTATAATATAAGGAAGCCCCAAAACCCTATTCTAACTATGAAGGCCCCTACATTAGGGTTTGGAGTTGTGATGGGCAGAAATCACAATGTCGCAGAAATCCCACATCCCAGTTGGAGTTGGAGCTACGGGTTCGGGTGACTGAAAGTTACAGGAAACCCCAAGTGTTTAGCGGCCGTGACTCACACATGATAGTTCCGCTCAGGGTTACGAGTCTTGTTTTCGATTGCGGATTTAGATCGACCGTTTGCGCGAAAACCTGCATTTCAGCTTTGGCTGGATTCTGCGGCAGATTTTGCTGCAGGGGTCAGAAGTGAAGTTGCCGGCCCTTCGGGCTGTTGTTGGGTGATCTATAGATCCCTCCACATACAAAGACAATCGGCTTCTGTTCTGACCATTGCCGTCCTAACTATCAATCTCTCGTGCTGTTGAGCGATGTCGCTTGCCGTGGTAGACGAAGGAGAAGCTGATGGGAATCGCCCGCATCCACATGGACTTGACACCTGCAGGACTGCTCGGCCTTTGCGGATTGTTGGGCTCACCGGCCTTCTTGGCACGATTTCCATTGACCTGCAGACAACGGTGACCGAGGCGCAGAAGATGATTGCCAAGTCTCTAAACATCCCTGTACCGGAACAACACCTCATCAGCCAAAGCCGATGCCTTTCCTGCAATGAGCTTTTGGGTGGCGCCCTGGGGGAGAACCTCGAGGTGACGCTGCTCAGGTGTGACAGGAAGACCTTGATACTAGAGTCGGCGAAGCAGACAGGATCAGTGGCACTCGAGCGAGCACGACGCATGGTGAAACTTTCGGGCAGCATCTCTTGATACCGACGAGGGGCCTGAACCAGAATGTGTAGAGTAGAAATGTTCAGGAACTTCCTAGCCTCGACTTGCAGAATTCAATCACAGGATGGGTAGCATGGTGCCGGCCGTGCCACAGACTGTCATAAGTTGGCATCGAGTAGTGTAGCTTTTTCAAGAATTCGCGATTCATCCAAGATGGGGCACAGTGCCTGGACCCGGAGCAGGGCCATCATCGGAAGTAATCTTTGTCATACTTCTCACCTGACGGAACCTGGACGGCGCTCACCGGGTCCAAAGGCCATGCCTCCATACGAAGCAGATAAGAGACTTACAGAAAGTGGTTTGTCGTTTGCAGCTTGGCGGTCAGGAGGATGTGTTCAAAAGAACCTATTGAGTGCAACGAGCCAGACGCCTGTTGCTCAAGCTTGCGGTGGTGGCCGAAATCCAAGCTTGGCACTTGACGCTGTGCCTTTGCTCAACAGAATCTGAAGCTTAGTTTCTTGCCTCGGCTGTTGGTCAGTCATCCATCCTCTGCTGTCAGCAGCTGACAAGATTGGTATCTCCGGGCAGCTTTTCAGCACGATTAGAGCAGTGGGCCGGTCTGAAAATGGGCAGTTCTCTAAATTAGGGTCCTTTTTTAGGTCCCCAATATAGTGCGGCACCCTTATAAAAAGGACCCTAAAAGGGACCCTAATATTGAAAACTACCCAAATGGACTCGGTCTCATTGCCGGCGCAGCTCGGTTTCTGGGCTTGTGGTAGTGGTCCTGGTCGTGGTCTTCATGGTAGTAGAGTAGCAGCCGCAGCGGCAGTAGCAGTAGTAGTACTGGTAGTAGGAGGAGGAGTAGGAGTGAGTAGGAGCAGGAGTAGGAGTAGTCATTAGTGGTCGTTGTACTAGCAGCAGTAGCCTCTGTTTATTTGTTTTGTGTTCAGTTTTGGCGGCGGGGGCGGTTCCAGCAGTTGTTTCTGTTTTGCTTCTTGTTTTTTGGGTATATTTGTATGTGTGTGTGTGTGTGTCTGTGTTTTCTTGTTCTGCTTGCTGACCCGCCTCTCTATTAGGGGTGTTTATTGGCATTGCCGTTGGCAGTCTTGTTGGTTAGCTTCCATAACTCATAAGTCAGATGCACCGGTTGCCCCCAAGCTTTTTCAAGCCCTGAGCCGCAAGCTTCGTGTTGAGCGTGCACGACCCGAAGAGGCTTTCTTGAAAACTCTTTGAAAGTTCTGGTTTGCACATGTTGCTGAAGCACACTCCCTGGCTTCCTTACAGGGCTTGTTCTACGAGGAATTCCCTCTCTCTTGGTGTTGCAGAGCTTTCACTGCGAAGGCTGCGCAAAACACGCATGCATCCTCTTGGAGGGAACCCTCAGGCAGGACAGGTTCAGCTGGAGACCCGGGCAGTCCTACCCGCCGAGTGCATACATGTCGGTGCGGAAAAGGAAGGCGGGCACAGTTGCATGCACAGGATGCTTGGATTCAGCGGCCCTTCGAAGGTTCTCTGCATTTCCACTAGTAGAGGCTAGTAGTGTATAGCTCCCTCAACAGATGGTACCCATTACCAAAAGCCTCCGCAATTCATTATATCGTTTTCCTTACTGCCTTACCGTAGCAAAGTATTCGGGCGCGAACCTACATGCGATGCTAAGCCACAAGAGCTTTCGCTTCCGCAATACTCCTGCATGAAGCGGGGATTGCAACCACACTACAAGTTGTTTGCCACTATGCAGTAACTAGGATAGGTTCCTCGCTAGCATTTTGGATAAGATCGTAATGTGTGTTTGCTTCTTGCTTGTGGCTCGTGCAAAGGGCGTCTGCATGGTCGTGCTCAGTGCAGCGCCGAAAAGCCTCAACCCAAAACTGAAACCCACCCGCTTTCCGTTCTGCGTCCGATGACAGTCAAAGCCCAGAAGTAGGGAAACCCTAAACCCTAAACCCTAAACCCTGAACCCTAAACCCTAAACCCTAAACCCTGAACCCTGAACCCTAAACCCTATAAACCCTAAAGAGTTCAACAAAGGCCACAGCAGAGACTGGGCGTGGGCCTTCACGGTCAGTACTCACTCAGCAGCTATCGTTGACCGTCTTCTGTGGATGTGTTTAGGATTTAGGGTTTAGGGTTTCGGAGACCCAAGATCCGCAGAACTAAACGAATATGACTAAATATCCCTGCTGAACTCTTATAGCAACCCTAAATCCTACGAACCCTTAAACACCATAAACCCTCGAACCACTGGATGTTCGAGTGTGAGGGCCGAAGACTGCAAAACCATCTGAATCGGTGCAGGCCTGGAAGCCCTTCTGCAAAAATGTGATGGGCTTTTCTGCAGCGCCAGGCAGAGCTGTTTTGGAGTGGCGGGGGCTTTGTTTTTGGTTGAGTTCGAGGGCGTTTTGATAGGGCTGAATGCTTTAAGGTGTTTATATGTAAAGGTCAGTATCGGGCTCTGAAGACTATGCTTCACCACCGTATCATAATCACATATCTTAGCAGTCCACAGTTCCTCCTCACACCACAAGCCTGTTCTAAGTACTTGGGGCTTGGACTTTGTCCTCCTAGATTCATAAGCCTCAGAGGGTTTCCAGCTGTTGTGTTGTGCTGCGCGGGGTTTCTGTTTTATTGTCAAAATTGTGTTTCGCGGTTTCGGGTTTGGTTTGTGCCCCATTCTTGGGCTTCTATGGATCACGGTGTAGGGTTTCACTCATGGCTTGCAACCAAACTAGTTTGGTTCTGGCAGGTCCGCGACCATGTGCGGTGTGCTTGAACTACAGCCGCAAGCCGTACCCAGGCCTCGAACACTACCACTTAGTCAGTAGGGTTACAGTATATACTTTGGAGCACTTGTAGTACTAATCCCAAGCATATTACTCACATTGCGAGATGCCATGAACCTTCCAGCAGGTACGTCAGACTGCTCCGACCAAAACTTATCAAAAGCCCGACCTAGCCTCCACAGCGATGACCCTCCGTAGCATTCTGCCCCTGCCGCTTGCGAGGCACAATCAAACCGGAATCCTGATTGGGAACAAGTTTCGGAATTGGCTCGGGAGAGCCACCCTAGAGACCCCATTTGGAGAGGCCACAGAGGCCGGAAACCCCCAGAAGGCCTATAAGCTGTAGTTTGGTGCCTTCTCAAGCTGTCAGGTTCCCAAGTGCTTGGACCGGAAAGGCGGCATGAAGAGCATTAATTAGGGTTTAGGGTTTCGAGGTCAGTGGGTACTCCGGGGCTTACCAGGCACTTCAAAAGGGAGCCGAAGTTTGGAGCAACCCGGCCGTTGTTTTTCAAGAGAGTTGCATACTATTTCTCGGATCTCAGGGGCTTGTCGTTGGGCGTTCTGCCTTTGGTGGGGTTTAGGGTTTAGGGTTGGGTGGGGAGCTGGGGGTGCAGATGTTCAAGTACGAAAGCGTTAGGAGCTAAGATTCAGTGGAACCCTGCATTCTGGTGTTCGCTACGCTTGCTAGGAAGGAGGCACAAAGCTGTGAGCCTGAACTGCAAAACCCTTTGAATCAGGACAGCCCTAAATGTTGTTGCCCAAACTCTTCACGAACTTCAGGGAGGTTTGTTGGGACGTTCCCGGTGCCTTTCATCGAAGTTCTAGTTCAGGCGCAGCGAGTGTGTGCGTCCCTCTGGGGTATGTGAGTGGTTTGGTCGTTACTCTGGATTGGCTGCTTGATTTGGGTGCAATGTCGTTTTGGTGCCGGTGCGCCTGTGTTCGATATGTGGTTTATGGCATGGGCTATAGTTTTTCTCGTCGCTCCGTCGTCGTGAAGGCTTCGTTCTCTGTTTGGTGTGAGATTGAGAATCGAAATCCTCAGCCCTAAACCCTGAAACCCTGTAGATTCTGAACCCTAGAACCTAATGGCTAAGCCTACCTGCATCGTAGGCTTGTCCTAGCCACGCGGGAGGCAAACACAAATGCGAACCGTAGATCCGTGAGTCAGCCAACATGGCGCAGTCCGGCCTGCCATCAGCGCTGGCGAGCCTTCTGAAGGATGCTTGCGACCCAGAACTACCCTGACGAATAGTCCTCTAGGCTACTGGATAATTGCAAGAACTCCAAGAAGTAAGCCGTAGCTGAAGGATATTCCTTTGGTTACAGCAGGGATCCCGAACATGCCACGTGTAGTAAAGGCAATTTCCTGAAACTTTTCTATCTTAGTAGGGGTGCTTGATAAAGGGCCTTTCAAGGAGAAGCTTCTTGTCGTTATGGTGCCTTACCATGTAGTAGGGGATCCCTGCAAGGGGAACCAGGGACCAATCGCAGCGTAAATTTCCATGCTCCCAGCATCTCCACTAGTCCGATTTCTCGTGCTGGCATGGTTACATCTTTAATGTAGGCACTTTAGGATTAGAAGTCTCAACCCGGTAGGTAGTTATTTCTAGCACGCGCATGGCATTACGAGCACATTTGCTCTGGTCGGTGCTGTACTGCTATGGTCAGGCATGTGTTTGTCGTTGTGATGATTGCTACGCGACTATAGACTTCTGTGAAACATCTCGCAGTCCGCTGGTATTAGATGCTGTGCAAGCTTGCGGCAGAGATCCACACAGCCCTAGGTACGGCTGCTTTAGCCATAAAGGGACCGACAGGTAGACGTGCCCCACGGCGGATAAGTAGCCTTGTGCTTGCCACGATCTGCAACATCGACCGCACTGAAGACTGGGGCTGTTCAGTCGCCTCGAAGCTACATCCTACATACCATCACATCATGGAGGTCTTTGCTAGACTCAGACCAATCCCGTGAGAGCATTTGGGTCAACTGCAAGAAGTCCTCGGCCAGCCCGGAAACCTAAAAACTAGTGCGACACTCCCCCCAGTCTCAAAACAAGTCCCTAAACTTCCGAGGCCCTAAATCCCAAAGCCTTACAGGTCTGAAAGCCCTAAAGCTGAACCATCCCAAAAACGACCCAGGACTCCCTACTTAAATCCAAAAAAGGCCCTACAAAGCAGCCCTGGACCCTACAACAGCTTTATGAGCTTAGGGGTTCAGGGTTTAGGGTTTAGGGCAGCTTTATGAGTTTAGGAGTTCTGGGTTTTGGGTCTAGAGCCCTACAAGCCTCGAATCATTGAGCCGTAGCCATGCCTTCCATCGAGCTGCCTCCTCGGCAAGACGCTTGGTTTGCATCCTATGGGCTATCTTGCGAAAGCTCCACAAAAGGGGCTTACTAAACTTTTTTGGGGCACCGTATTTAGGGGTCTGAGGACGTGAACAGCCAAAAATGAAGGATTCCGACTAGCAAACGGCGTCTGTGGGCCTGGGAAGGAAATTGCAGCTTCTTGTAGCCTGCCGAATGGGGGGGTCTCGCTTACCCGTGTCCCTTTGGTGGCCAACAAAGGGTGTTCTATGTTCAACATGCGGACACTTGAACGACCCCATATCATCTTCTGTTGCACCAGTTTCTACATCAGCTCTGAAATCAGGCTCTTAGACAACTGACCCCAGATACAACCTGGAATCCTACACGCTAAGCCCCTCACCCTTACCTTGTGCATTCCATCAAGTGCAGCAGCACCTAATGTAGGGGCCTAAATAATTACCCATACTATTTTGGGCGGTCCTTACTATAATTATAGTATAGTATAGTATAGCATAGTATAGTATAATGGGCCCCAAAACCTTATTCTAATTATGAAGGCCCCCTTTTTGTTTTTGTTCGGCTGATCGTGGCTGGAAGATAGGGGCTCCATGGCTTCTAGGACGCACCCCCAGCTGTGCCTCAAGGGCCCTTGTATGCCAGGGTTTAGGGGTTTAGGGTTTAGGGTTTAGGCCAATTGTGCGGCGTTGTTCCGAGCTCTTGGGTGCAATGAACTTTGGAGGCTCGTTCTAGAAGCATTCTACACGAGCAGAAAGCCAAGTGCTCGGAGGACTGGCGATCCCGGAAGGGCATCCCAGTAGCTAGGTGGAGGGGTCACGAAGCATGCTGAAGAAGGGGCTCCATCCTATAGGGGCCTTGGGCCAAGCGAGAGATGAAGATCCCGGCGGTTGCGATTTTAGTGGCCATTTGGTAGCCGTGTTGAACGCCTGTTAAGCCGTGTCATCATCATCAGTATGGGTGCTTGAATAGCTGGCAACTCTCGGAACATAAGCATATTGTAGACCCACCCCCGGCGAACCCTGCGTAGTCTGTCTCACAAATCTGGATTGGCTGGCACAAGAGCCAAAAGTGACGAAACATGTGAGGAAGTTGGGCCCTAAAGCCCCAAACCCTACACCCTCATCTGCCGTGCCGAGCCCGACTTGTGAGATTGTAAGCATTCTAAACTATACACCCTAAGCCCTAAGCCCCTTCACCCACATCCCAAGACCCTGTACACCTCCATCTGAGGAAGCAGAGTCGACGATCCATGAAGAGGAAACAAAGAACTTGAGCCTTGGATTCGGTCCAAGGATGGGTATTACAGAAGCCTAAATAGTTACCTCTACTATTTTTGGGGGCTCCTTAGTAATAGTTATAGTATAAAAAAGCTCCAAACCCTTTTCTAATTATTAAGGCCCCTGCATTGTTGGGTTTCTTTGTGGGTGTATAGAAGGCTCGTTAGGGATCTGAGAGCTTGTATGGAGTTTTCGGGGGGATGCTAGTAGCAAAAAATCGCACTTCCGCATGCAGGGAGAAAGAACCACACTGCAAAGGCTTTTGGCAGCTTGCGTCAGCCTTTCTCTTTGGCACTCGTGGTATAACTTAGATCTGCATGCCTAGTGGGGGTGTGGGCAGTGATGGCAAAAGTGCTGCCAATCGAGAATGCATGCGCAAGAAACCAGAGCCTGTTCATGAGGCTAAATGCGAGGCCCACGAGATCCTGGAGATAATGACGCCTTCAAGCTTGGATGCAGCCGTAGCCAAGATGACGTCTGCTTGTGATGCCGCCGATGATGACCATCAAGACAAAACTAAAGTCTCGTACTTGAGTTGCTCGGTTCAGTAGTGTTATGTAGTGGCCATAGAACACATAAGAGAGCACAAACCGCAGCCTCTACTGTCATCGTATTTCCGCATAGTCCCTGTAGAAGTACGGTATGATGTACGCCCAAATTGTCTAGTCTTTGCGGGGTCGCTGTAATGAGCTCGATTTGGTCCCAGTCCCAGCCCATTCCGGCACTAAGGATTGCCAACAGAAGCCGCGGCAACGATAGCAGCGGAGGCGCAGAGCTATGCTACGGGGCAGCAGGGTTCCCGATTGATTTTCGGACGTCTTCCAAGTTTTTCCGGCTCAGAGTTTCATGGCAGTTCTATGCAGGGTGTAGGCTTCTAAGCAGCCGCATCCCTTTTCTAGGAAATGGCACCGTTTTGGTAATCCAGGTCCTTCGGTGACCAACGCAACGCATATATCAGAAAGCAAAAACGTGCAGAAGGTATTGCATCCTGCTCGTCCATCGCACTTGATCCTTCAAGCGGTGAAGTCAACCCCAGCCCCAGCAAGCCTTAAGCTACAAGCACGAATGTCTGACTCAACATCAACTCCCTGAAGCCTGAACGCCCTAAACTCGAAACCCGAAGCCCCAATCCTAGACCCTAAACCCCCTAAACCCTTAAACTCGAGACCCGAAACCCAAATCGCTGAGCCGGGAAGGGGACAAAGTACGCCCGAATTGTATTGGCAACGCCGACGGCGATCTCGAGAACCAAACAGGCAGAGGCCCTTCGCGTAGGAGCTTCTGCGGTTTAGGGTATCAGGATTTAGTGGTTCGGGATGCAAGCAGTTTAGAGTGTACGTAGAGTGTACACAGGTAGCGTAGTTTAGGGTTTGTAGGGACTTTGTTTTATTTGGCAGCCGTAGGGCGTCTGCGGTCTTGCTTTGGGCACTTGCACAAGGCATAAGCTCTAACACGGCGTCCCAGATTCTTTGGGCTACCGCAACTCATCATCGCACACCCTTACCTTGTAAGGCCCTTGACCGGACTTCATCTGAGAGTGTGGCACAAAGGCCATGTTGTATTTGATATGTTTTGTTTCTCTTGGCTTTGCCGTGAGCATGTCTTGGGGCGCTGGGTAGGGTTTAGCTTGTATGAATAACATGCACACACACATACAACCACACAGCAACCCCAAACACACTCCTAAATCTGAAAACCCCCGACCCCTCAACCCTCCAAATCGCTGAATCCTGATCAGGGAAACATACGACCAACCAGAGGTCAATAACTGGGTTTCAGGCCTGGGATAGTTTTTAGGCGTTCTGTGCGCGCTGCAAGTTTTCCACAGGAGTGTAGAAAAAAAGCTTGAAAAGAAGAGTCTGACCTGTCAGGCTTTAAGGACTTACAGTTCGAGAATTCAAAGGATCCTAGTTCGCATAGAACATAGGGGTTTAGGGTTTAGGATCATAGAACCCCCCTTAATCATTGGATCCTCCTTTCTGGGTTCGGGATCGCGAGCTTTTTTTTTTTGCAAACCAGAGAGCAGAGCTTGACAATCCAGTCCTTCAGGGTCTCAAGGTCTTAGGGTTTCGAGTGTGGGCGTGAGACCGTGCTCCATAGCTTAGTGGCTGAGTAGGTAACCTTTAACCCTGTGGGGTTTATGTAATCCGACCATAATTGAAACGGTTAACTTTTTTGGGCTAGGGTACTCAGCCCCTAAGATACTATGCAAGGCAAGCTTGTTCGGCTTTACCAGCAGCCTCTCGGCATACCCTTGGTTTTGTGCATCAGTGGTCCGATTGATGAAACCATGTCCTTCATCTATGGCTTATACGTCTGGAGTTAGCAGCGGTTTTTATGATCTTTTGAACTTTCGGGTTGACGATGCACGTCGAATGCCCGTCAAACAGGCGGTGGTTGCCTTAAAGGATTCGAGGTCTTCTTTGGCATGGTGTGTGCAGAGTTCACGTGTTGCGGGTTTGGCCCCGCACGACTACTCGGACTTCCAAGAAAAGCATTGCATGAAGAGGTACTGAAGTCGTGCGCTGCTTTCTGTACTGTATTTTTTGTGCATCCATAACAAGTTTTCGGCGATGATGCTGTTTCTCAGCATTGTTGGCTAATTCTGCTTTCTACATTGCCAGAACTGAAGCACGGGCCTTGATGCCAATCCTAGAGGATTTGTTCCTCATCTGTGTCTTAAACCCTAAACCCCAAAAACCCTAAACCCTCGAACGGCCTAAAACAGGTTTACAGGTCTTAAGAGGCCAATCGGAGCCAAGAGCTGAGCAGTAAGCAAACGTGTACATCGGCGCCTGATCGCAGCATTTGCATCCTCTGGCTGAAGAAGATGGCAGTCTTTTTTATATCGCGAAAAAAGCAGATGATACTTATATGTTAAGAGTTGTGGTGGAATTGTGAACATCTAATTGCTCGCATTTCTGAGAACCTGGCTCCAGAATGGCAACAGCCAGGCTGACTCTGGTATGCCTGCTTTGTACGGCTAACTCCCAAAGCCTGGCTTGTGGGAACGAGTCCACGTGCGTTGACTCTATCAACAAGCTGCAGATCGTCGGCACGCAGCGTGCGTACCTAGACAGCTACGAGTTGTTAAACCGATCCCTTTCGGTTTATCCAACCAGCGCCAGACTCTGGAGCCTCCAAGCAAAGCTGGAGACCTTCTACCTGCTGCAATGGAGTCTTGCAGGAGACTCCATCCAGCGGTCCTTATCTCTGGAAGACACGGCGAACGCGCACATCTTCCGTGGCTGGCTGTCTGCGACACCTGGTCGCCTTAACAAGACCTCGTCAGAGCATGACTTCCTCGCAGCACAGCGACTTGCACCAGAAGATTTCTGGCCACACTTCGAGATGGCAGCGTGGCTGAGCCACGTGGCCGATCGCTTTGAGGATTCCCGCGCGCAGTATGAAATCGTGGAGGCCAAGGCTAGCGAGAACTCCTTCCTACAGTTCTTCTTTGGCCTTCTTCTGAAGTACCACATGCAGGCGCCACAGGAGATGGAGCGAGGGAAGGAGCTGATCAAGAAGGCCCTCTGCAAGGCCTCCACCTTACCTGGGCAGGCCGCGGGGAACTTAGCCTTTCAGGCACAGCTCCTGGCATCAAGGGGTCGAAGCTCTGAGGCCTTGGAATGTTGCGAATTTTCTGGGAAAATCCTGGATCCCTCGGAAACCAGCATGCTGGTGGTTTGCAGCATCATCAGGCAGCAGGTGTTGGTAGTTTGATCCGCTTTCCGCACATAAGGATGGAACTCTGTTTGTCGCAGATACCACAAGCCACTAGCTGCTAGCCGCCTGAAAGGAGCTTGTGTTGGGTTGACAGCCGGCCGCATGTTCTTGGAACTTACATAACTGTGTGTGTGTGTGTTACTGCACCTGTTTTAGAACTGGGCGTTGGCAAAAGGTCTTGACGTGAGCTGACGGTATGCCAGCGAGGGCACGAGAGTTTTGAGCCTGATGCAGCTGACGGCGCGGTGCTTGGTCGTGCAGATGCTGCTTTGACGGCTTCGTGCTCGCTGGCGCCCGAATTAAACAAAAGTGTGCATGCCCTGCCGTAGACGGGCGAACCCAGCGATTGGAAGAGAGGAGGAAAGTTGAGCACTGGTGCACCGTTCGAGCTGTTCCGCTGTGACTGACCTACTGGCCTGGAAACAAAGGTGGCCATCAAAGAATATGTTCTGCTGCTGCGGCTGTTGCATGACAGGCCTGGACAGGAGAGAAGCATGCAACGTTGTTGAGCGTGGCCATGCAATGGTTTGTGTTCACATGCTTTTTGTCCCCTTACGCGCTGCACTCGCATCCTCCCGGCAACCCTTCATACAGGTGGCACGGACGAGTGCTACTGCCCAAACATGTGCCTGGATGCACACTTGGTAGTATGTTTTGAACTAGAATTCTTAGCTACTCCTTGCAGGTTCTGGCTTCACAGCCTTCAGATCATTTAACTTGTGGACATTGGGCGTAGCGTGACCTCTACGGATCGCTTGAGCCTATCGCCAGCTAAGGGCTCTGAGATCTGAAGGTTCTGTTGTAAACGACTGACACAGATGCAGCGAACCTTAGTGGCTGAGTAGGTAACCTGTAACCTTTTGGGGTTTATATAAGCCTACCATGATTGAAAAGGTTAAGCTTTTTTTGGCTCGGGGACTCAGCCCCTAAGGAACATGTCTGCCACAGCCCAGGTGTGTTTGGTGTTTCATCCTCGTTCCAAGCTGCCTCTCGGCTTGCACGTGCTAGGCGAGGATGTCTGCCACGCCGCGACTCTTTGAATCACTCCAAAGAGGGCTAGGCAAGTCTAGCATCCGATATCATGGCTCTTGTGACTTGTTCGTTGCCATCAACCAGACCCGATGGTACTGTGAGGTCTGCAGTGGCTAAATTTGGGCAGACATCTTCATCTGCAAACGCAAGGTACTTACTTCGGACTCGTGGCGCCGAAGCTCATCTCCAACGGCATTTACCTGCTGCCAGGCGACAGTTGCCCTGGTTTCTGGATGACCGGTTCCCTACGGAAGGATCGCTGGGTTGGGAGGTCGTCTCAATATGAGTAAGTTGGATCAACGACGTCTAGATCAACCAGCGTCCCAGCTGAAAGTTCCCAGATGCTGTCCGAGCAGACCGACGACGGCCACGATTGCTTTGATTTGCCGTGCCATTCAGCTCATAATCTTTCTTCTCCGAGACCATTCTTACTCATGCGCTCTCCAGCATCACCCATTTTGGAATTCATGCAGTCTCTGTCTCCTCGTGTTGATGAACATTCAGTTGCGTCTGTGACTTCGTCTTCGGCTTGTTGCATTCGGTAGACGTTCACATGGATTCAGTGGATTCAGCTAATTTTGCGGTCCCTTTGGCACGGCGCCGGACTCAAACTTGTGACCCTTTGTGCAGGGCCCGAGCAATTGGCTGATGGGGGGTTCACGGTACGCGAGTACGCGAGTAAGAGCGAGACAGATCTCTCATGACTAATTCCCCCGTCCTCATCCTAACAACCTGCACACAGTTCGAATACCTGAGCCAATTCAACAGGAATCTGGAAAGGCCACCCCCACAGCCTTAAGGACATTTTGGGCCATCCCCTTCTTTGTTAGACCGCGAGAGCATGCAGCCATGCAGTCTCCTTTCCTTTTCGGCCTCCAGGGGCGACGCTGGCCATATTTCTCATTGCGACGGGACTCCTGCTCGCCATCGGGACAGCATGGAATGTGATATGCGGATGTAGTGTTGCTATATGTTGTTATTGTGATTCTGATGAATGCTGCTCCGCCTCCTCCTCAACTACGACTGTGACTCGTTGGGATGCGGTTCGAGTTTCCGCTCCGAGGGCATGCTGTCATCGGCTCAGCCTTATTGTAGATATGAGTGGAAACTCTGATCCCCCAAAACCCTTTCACGATAAGCATCAAGTACAAGCAAGTGTGTTGGCTCCCAACATCGCGCAGTTCCCTGTAATTGGTGTGTGAAAGCCTTTTTCGCTGCTCTTGAACCCAAACCGTATATCTCCAGAACCTAAAGACCCGAGGCCACTTGCTGCACGGACCCGGGGATCATTCCCTGCCGTGAGGTGCTTGCGCTCGGTCGATTATAAGGCTTCCGGTTGTTGGGTTGTTTGGGGGATGACCGGGGAGGTGATCAGGGTTTAGAGGTTTTCGGTCGGCAACTGGGCTTAGGTGGGTTTGGGCTTCAACTGCGCAGTGCTCGCCATGTCCGGAGCGGTTCTTTTGATCAAAGTGTGGCGAGGGGTCATGGCATGGAAGTTTACAGTCGATAGGTGTTGAGATTCAGGGCTGGGCGGGCTGTGGAGAGAGATGACTTCTGGTGACTGGTGTTTCATTAGAACTGATGCCGGACTTCAGGGATGTTCCTCTTTGGGCATGCGAAAGGCCCTACAGTTTTTAAAGACTGTTTAAACCCTACGGCCTCTAGGCTAAACCGTAGAAGGTCGCCTGCTGTTTACCCGTGAAGCTGTGCCAGGTGATCCTGGCGACAGGCCATGGGTCTTCAATTCAGCTACGGTTTCGAGTTTAGGGTTTAGGGCTCCAAGTTTGGGGTTGAAAGTCTAGCGGTGTTGTTGTGTTGCATGTGTCTTTGTTGAAAAGGTCTTCAGAAAACATGAAGGTTTGGGATTTCCTTTTAGGATGTAGGTTGTTGAGAGTGTATTTCTACCAGTGCTTAGCAGTTTAACCACAAGTTTAACCTGGAACAACAGACATATTCGCATGAGCTCGCAAGACACACTGCGCCGTTCTCGCGAGAAAATTCTGCCATGGCATTTTGTCACTTTACTCTTGTTTTTTCCACTTTACTGCTGCCAAGCTGGCAACATCTATTTATCATCCTGCCTTGCGCACCAAAGTTCAGACGAAACGACCCCTGCCAAGACTGAGCAGCTCATATCGCGTGTAAGTTTGGGCTTCTTAAGGGCTCGGGGCATCATCGACCCTGAACCCGAGTTTCCAGGTCCGCACATAAAAGCCCAGCATCGATTCTAAGGGTGTGGGATTAGACTCCTCCCCAAAACCGCCCTTGTGTTGGGTGCCTGACCATAGTCTCCATTGTAGTTCCTTTTTTTTGGTTTAACCAATTCTATATTTAGGATCCTATAAGGTAACCCCAAACAGGAACTACAATGCAGACTATAGTCAACCCTATAAACCTTCTTGTGACAGGCACTGCCGACCAGCTCAAAGTAGCTCTGGGTTATGACGTCCTCGGACCAGAAGGCACTACCACAGACTAGCTTTTGGGGATTAGCGTAGACGGTAACATAGGGGCCTTAATAGTTACCAATACTATTTGGGGGTTCCTTATTATAGTTATAGTCTGTAGTGTACTACACCCCAAAACCGTATTCTAATTATTAAGGCCCCTACATTAGAGGGCTTGTGCATAACCATGTCGGAGGGCTGTTTTGGGGGTAGTGCTGGGTTTCTATGGGTTCTTTGGGTTGACACACCGATCCTGTGGTTTTGCGGTTGGCGCAAAACAGGGGGAGGGCATGTGAGCTCTCTGTTCAGAGACCCATGCAAAGCTCCAGCACTGTCGACCCGAGGTGTTGTTGACCTGCAGCATTTGATGTTCCAAAACCCTTACCTCAACCCTTGACTCCACTAACCGGAGGATCTGACTCTGCCTCACTGCCACCGCAGCTGAGGTGGGTGCATGCATTGCGGCCTTTGGGTTTAAGAGGTACCTGTAGGATGCCTTAGGGCTTTCGAGTTTGACGGCTTCGTGGTTGGAGTTCGGCTTAACTCCAGATCCTCCAAAACTCCTCAGATTTTGCAGATCTTTTGGCAATGCGGGCTGGCTTGGGTGAGGTTGCGGGTTCTGAGATAGACTGGTTCACGGTTCAGCAGGTTTGCGGTCCAGAGCATGGAAGCGGCGTGACACATCCGGTGGAAACAAACGACACGTGCGTGCATGCACGTTCATAGTACACCGTTGTTTATGCGCCATCTGTGCTATGATTGTCGGGCTGCAGCATTTTTGTTCGTTGTTGCCCGTCTTGCAGCTGTCAGGAAGCAGGGCTATCGCTTCTGCAGCCGCTCGGTGGAACTAGATGCTCAGGCTGTTTCGGTTGCGTGTTTGGGGTTTAAGAGTCAGCTGTAGGACGAAGCTACGTCAAGCTTGCCTTGATCGTTTTGTCAGAGTGGATCCATTCCAGGCACTCTTAGTGCCATAGTTTAGCAGTTGTTCGGGCCCTTGGGGGTGGGTGGTCATGCTTGCTTTTATGTGAGTTTAGAAAGTTTGTGATGCCCCCCCCCGACTCAGAGCAAACACACGCACACATCGCCGAGATACTTGTTGCATCGTGCGGCCTCCACGGTCGTCGCACTGCTCCGACTGCGACAACTGCGTCTTGCGCTTTGATCATCATTGCCCATTCGTGAACAACTGTGCCTTGGACCGGCATGAACCGCAGCTTGTGGATCGTGATGTTGAGAATTGACATAGCGGTTCATGGAGGCCTCTCTGGGTCCGTTGAAAGAGGATGGGCATGTTTCTTCTCCTCCGCTGGTTTTCGAGAGAACTTTAACTTTTTGCCTGGGGCTGTCCTTGCAACTGCAGTAGCTGGCTGCCTGTTGACGCGAGAAGACTCAATGAATACCATTGCAGGTATCGCGGTGGCTTTAATGTAGAGGTCTGGTACAGTGAAACCGTGAAGGATCTTGTGTCAGGAGGGCCTCACACGTTGAAGACCGGGGAGGTCGAGGTACAGTACGGGTTGCAAGTAGTCGCTAGCAGCTTTGCTGTCACGCTCGTGCATCGGTATCGCGCTTGAGTGCTTGCAAACGAATGTATCTTATGCCTGTGCTATAGTAGTCAGTGCACACATCTAAGCGAGCGGATGTTGAAAATACTGGGAAGAGGAATGTGCCAATCTGTCGCAACGAAATAAATAAACTCGTACGAGCATGGCAATTAGGCATGCAGCGAAGCAACATCGTGCATCGTTTATTCAAACTCAGCGACAGTCAAATAATCGCTCCCAAGACCTGGGACAAGGTTCACTACAGTCAATGCCACGACACAGTCTTCGCTTGTGCCTGAGTCTTGCCGTTGGAGTTCGTCTTGAGGTGTGGGGCAGAGGAACTACCACTATTTCTTCGGCTTCATCACGTGTGCGGCTTGCCGGAAGCTGCGATGAGTCAGGCTTTGTTTCATGGCATAGGTTCACGATTCCGGCCGTTTGCTGTTCAATGGGGGTGCCTGACCCAGACCTGCATTTTTGCAGGTTACCGGTGAAGGTTGTAGATCAAGTTGCCCCCATTTAGTTTCTAGGGTGGTGGTCACGATAGATAACGATGGTTGAGGCTGATGCGACAACAGTCCTGTGTCTGCGAAAATTTGGCATGGATCAAGCCTTTTGCCTTGCTCGTCCCGGTCAGAATTTCTTGCAGTGCATCCCGGCTGATCCAGCTGATGCCGAACCCTTAGGAAATACTTCTTTGTCGGTGGTTACTGCGCTTGTCTACTTTCTAGGGCCCTGACCACGTAAGTCACACGTTGATTTCTAGCCGGAACTGACATTTGGGAACCTTCTTTGGACCCAAACCTGGTATAGGTATGAGGCCCCATACCATCAGGTGATGGTCCTGGCTACTATGGTGATGCCTGCATCGAGTCTGCATGGAGCAGGGCTGGCGAATGTAGCTCCTCCAACTAATGTGGAGAACCGGCTAATCGGTAGCATAATTCCTGTACGGTTGCGTGACATTTTTTATGGCTTAAAGACCCCCCCCCCCCCGCCGCCGCATCCAAATCGAATTATGCAGACCCCTGTAGCATGTTCAGAGTGCAGGGTCGGGCCGGGAGTTTACAACCTTATGGTTGATGCCAAGTTCCTTCGGAACCTTTCGGGGCACCGACTCCTTCACAGGCCCTGGATGAGGAACATGGCCACACATAATAATGATCTACAGTCTAAGTACTCATGGCCGGAACATGGCCACACATGATAATTTATACAGTCTAAGTACTCGCCCTCCCCGTCAACTGAAGCTGCTTCTGTTCGGATTTGCAAAAATAGCCCTGACATGTGGGAAGGGCTTTCTTGTCGCCCAAACCGAGGCCCTGGCTTTGCACTTGTTCAACCCGGATCAGGACAAGGCCATGAAGAATGCCGCAAAGCTCCTGGACTTGCAAGAGCCACTCCTTGGGTACAGTAACCCTAAACCCTAAACCGTGGTTGCGTCTCAAAAGCGTGGACCTGCCAAATACGATTCCTCAGCAGAAGGTCGGAGAAAGCAACGCAGGCGGAATGAATTCTACCCGATGGTGCCGGCAGCCACGGGTTCCTCCTTTTCGTTTAAGACCCCCCAATGTGGACCGAGGATTGACAAGTCGATGTCCTTGCTGTTCTATGCCATGTGTGCCGTTGGCGCCTCTTGACGTTCAATTCAACCCAGGAGCTAAATGTGCTATAGGAGCCTATAAATAACTACAAATACTATTTTAGGGGGTCCTTATTATAACCATAGTATAATTTACCCCAAAACCCTATTCTAATTATTGAGGCTTCCACAGTATGTGCATTCGCTTCTACTTGAGTTTGCGCCTGCATACAAACAGAAGTCCACTCTGCCTGAACTTGTTTACATCCTTTCCTGTGTTTAGATTTGCAGTTGCTCTCTATGCAATGAGTTGCCTGCATGTTTTTGGTGGAGCGTGAAGAAGGCATATATACAACGGGGATATAGACCATCCGCTTACAAGGTGGTTGCATGTGGTTGCAGCGCCCTCGTTTCAAGCCACGTATTGAAGTGGAAGAACCATTCTTGAGGCCTTGGTCACCTTCGCCGCATTTCTTTCCCTGGTTCTCTGGCTTTACCATTTGTTTCTCATTGCAGGGAGCCCAGATGCTGTGAGTGTGGGAGGGTTCCGCTTCTTCTGCACCATAAGCCGACAACTTGGAGGGAGAACGGGGGACTCGGTAAGTTTGCCCTGTAGGCGGCAAGATTGCCTTGCAGTTGTGGCCTTCATGACTTCATTGTACGTAGTTAGCTCGTCGCCCCACTCTCCAACCGGAGCCATTTCGCTCCTCGCAGGATCTGTCTTGGACATGCTCTTAAACAGCCACAGGGAAGCGGTGCATTAGCAGGATCAGCAGCGACGACGGTGCCAGAGCAGTTCTATAATCGCGAAACTGTGGAGGTAACTGAGAATTCCAGACACAAGGCACCCCCTACTCTTATTCTAGAATTTTATACAGGATCCCCAACTGTTCCCACCTCTAATTGTAAGAATCTCCAAGTCACAGCGGCTGGGAGCCAAACCCTGCGATACAGCCAGCAGGTAACACGGCAGACAACGAAGGAGTTCCGCAAAGGCAGCGAGCTTGCTCTCACTTCTGGGCATGCTATGGTGTCGCAGGGTGGCTTGTTGGGATTGTCCTACAAGTCTTTGGGCTTCGCTAAGTGAACGACATTATAATAGCATAGAAGCCCCAAGTTCCCTTCCTGATTTGGATATCGAGAGCTATTTCCGCGAACCCCGGAAGCCCCCCCCACACACACACCCCTCTTGCCGCAGAAGCCCCTTTTCGGTCGGCGGGTTGCATTGGCAAGTTTAGTTAGGGGTTTCGGGTTGAATGCTTAGGGTGTTAGGGAAGGTATGTCGCAAATGCCAACGAAAGATTTTAGTTCTGATGTCTTTCGAGAAGCAGTTGCCAAATAGTTTTTCTATACATACACACACATATGTAAATATAAATATAAATAAATAAGTAAATATAAATAAATAAAT